TGTGTTGTGCATCATTTATGCTGGGTCTGCTCATAGGAATGGTAAGAATTATGAAAAGTATCCCCAACAACTGGCCAGTATAATGAAAATGCTGGCTGGCTTCTGACACTTCACCAGGCCTTACCAACCCACTTCTAACCCTACTGGGGCAGCTAAAAGGGCTGGCAACTTCCTTTTGCAAAGACAGATCTAGACCCAGCTCCAGTGGCTGTTGTTTTGGGTGATCAAGGAACTCAGCTCATCTCTAATAGAAGTATGTAATTTTTGTCTCACAGAGAGCATTCACTCTCAGCCCCATTCTGTCCACTGGTCAGGCAGCGTGTGCTCTTTTGTGCTTTGCATGTCTGTGTGCTCTATATAGGGGTTTCACTCTTCCCAAACTCCTAATGCAGCCTAAAGCAGTCAACTTTACTTGTGTAGTTACTCAAGTACCATATTTGTTGCTTTTCTGGAGCAAATGTGACCTTGCAGTCTCTGGTGTCCTTCAGCTTCCTCTGTTAACAACCTACAATACTGGGGCCAAGAATAGAGATGTTGGAATATGAGTAGGGCAATTCTTGCAGTGATCATGAATTAAGGTCCCATGTCCCTCAAAGCAGTTTTGGCAAAACTGACTGCAGACCCCATTCAGGTCTAATCATCAGGATGCAGATGAAGGGAAATAGTAAAAAGACTCCATGTGTCTTAAACATAATGCTGAAATAGAGTCTTACTTTTGTTATCACCCAGCACAAAATGATACTGAAAATAGATGAGCAATGTACATGCAAGCCTAATAACATAGTATTTAGCTTTACCTTCCTTCAGTTTATATTTTTACTTTGCAACAGCTACTTAAATTAGTACCACTGCTTACAACTTTTGATATGACAGAACTAAAGCAAAATGTGGATATGCACCACCTTTGCTGTGCAGAAATTTAGTGCACATGTGCTTGCAATGGAGTTCCTCACCTACAATTTGAGATTTGATGACGTTTCTCACCCATTTTATGCTTTCTGATACTGATTTTCTAAAAGCCTCAGAGAGAGTAATCATACAGGTATAACTTCACTAAGATATCTGGAATTATTCTAGAATATTATAATCAAGCTGTGGCTAATTTTTTTATTTGAAAAAAAGTTATGTGCTAAACCGAGAGACAGCTAGTGAGAGCAAGATGGGCCTTCCTTTTATACTATTTTAAGAACACACAAAGTATCCTAACTGTTGTATACAGCAGAATACAACATTTAAGACCACCCTTAACATTCTGACTAATTAGATATGTTCCTACAGGGTTACCAAAGAGGAATCTATAAAGTACAAGGCACTTCCATTACAATCAATTCATTACTGACTTGAAAAAAAACATACTTGAAATACAAGATGTAGCACAGAGATTCTGATAAGATATATAATGAAGTTGATCTTGATTTTGTAGCTAGCATATTCTGTACTTGCAAGGATCATTTTTTCAACCTTCCTTTGCTAGAGAAACAAGTAGTTTTAACCTGAAGAAATTAAAACTAAAATGGAGGTTAAAAGTAGTAGAAACTCTCTGGCTCTGATGCAGTAAGAGGTAAGCATTTTCAAGAACGTTGCACCTTCTTTGTGCAAATGGCTGTGGCCAAGGGGGGGGGGGGATTCCTAGTCTCTCAGCTGGCAAGTGTCTGCTCCAGGCATAGCCCCATGCATCTTGCCCCTCATGAGGAACAGACAAAAGCCAATAGCCAGCTTTTCCTTTTCTTAAAACTGATGAATAGGAGATGTAAAAACCTAGCCAGCAACTTAAACACATGTAACAATTCTTCAACGATACTGGGTGCCTCAGATGCAGGCTTAAATTTAGGTGGCCTAAACAAGAAATGCCTTCCTATTTTTTTAAAAAAATATTTTGTATGTATGGATGGTAACTATCAAGCAACCACTGCCCAAAACCTTTGTATTATGGCAGGTGGCCTATTCATAAGAGGGCAGTTGCAAAGGAAAGCTGATATACATTAACACCACATGAAACAATAGTGAACCGGCTATGTTAATTCATTTAATGGGAGCAGAGAGCTCCTGGGCATACAGCTACACTTTCCATGGCTCGCAACTGTTTTTTGCCACCTGCTACATTCAGTCTTCCTGGGCAAATTGTTTTGTACAGCTACAGATTCAGAAGCACTAATAATTCTGACCCCTCTCTCTTTCTGTTACAAATTGCCTCTGAATTTGCTCCTGTGTTCCAGGAAAAACCTCATTCTAAGTTCTCTCTTCTCATTCCCAGATTCACAAGCACGCTGACATTCTGTAAAACACCCTTATTATTGCAGCTCAGTATAATACGACTGGCCTCAAGAGCAGCCAGGGCAGATGCTAGTTTGTATTTTGATAAATGTCACAGGACTCATCAAGCCTTTTGATGTAAATGCAGATGATGCATCTGTCATCACCCAGAGCCACAAGCTGGGCACAACTGATTTCTAAGACACCCCTGATTTACAGGATGACAATAATATGAAGAAAAATCTCCTTATACTTAGAAGAGTTAAAACCCAACTACAAAGAATGATTAGCGAGTGAGATGCTCTTAGGAACATCACACGCAGATCTCAAAATCAGAACTGACACTTAAATGCCAAAAAAAGTATAAAAATGCTATACTGTCTTTTATATCAATACATTTATCTGTTTTTGTAGAATGAAGCTCTGCCCATTTTTTTACTCAGTTTCTAATTCATTCAGGGCAATTTCAGTTCTAGCAGCATATTTGATTTGTTGAATCCTGTTTGAATGTCCAAGTCATAGAAGTACCACTTCAATAAATCACATAACCACTGTATGTATGTAGCAGGGATATATGTTCTGCAGTAGTTTTCCCATTTGTTCGAACTATCATCTGTTGTAATTTTTTTTTTACTTTGAGCTTGTGGGGTTTTTTTGCTGTTTGTTTTAAAGTTGTTTACAGCTTTATAAATAAAATAATCTACCAGACTGTCCATTCAAAAATGGGCCTCTGGAGACTATAATCCTATAAAATGAACTGCTTACACATGCTTTATTTGTACTTTGACAATTCCTTATCATTTTAGATATATCACCCATTTAGATATATCACCATCGTGTTGAACACTCTAATGCATGTTTCTGGACCAGAAAATTTGATTTAATTCTTGAGAAAAAATAGCATTTGGGACAATATTAAGATAGACTGTAAAATACACACATTACAAGGCCAATGCTTTAGCATATACTGCTTTTAAATGGAAGATGGACAGAACCCAACAGGAAAGATGCACGCTTAAGTCAAGTGAAGCATTTGTGACAACTGTGGCCAAAGGATTAAAAAAGGAACAAATATGCAACTATTTTATTTCACCATTAATACTGCATGAGACTGAAGCTCCGTTATCCGATCAGAGAAATAAGGGCCCATTCTCTGCCCCTCACAGTTCTATCAGAAGGCTCAACTTACTTCCCCATATACTTCAGTACAGGGCGCTATCCTGCCTCTCAGCAGCCAAAATAGATCCAACTCAACCTGTAAGAAGCACCATTTGATAAAACAAATTATCCATTCAGGCAGAAAAGTCCTTTAGAGCCTTAGCTATGGAGGCCGGACTAAGCAAAATTAGAGAAAGACTGAATAAATGCCTGATTTAATCCCCATTGCTCTAGAACCTTCACAGACTAAAGGGAACATGGTCAGGCACAGCGGACAGACATAGAGGGGCAATGTCACACCTACTTACCTATGTGCATAAGAAGTCTTAGTGTCCCCCTCTCCCCTCCAGCAAGGGTGGAGGGGGAAGTTACAGGGTAAAGTGCTCATTTCTTTACCTCCTTCAAAACGTGGAAGGGACAGGAGGTACTAACTGTGCTGTATACTGGAGGAGGAGGGAGGCATTGCATGGATGAAATAACATATGGCCCAAACTGTGGCACTGACTAACTGAGCCAAAAAAAAGGAGTGTTTAACAGGTGACTGAACTTCCGAAGTCATCATCTGCTAACTAAAAATGAGGAGTGATTGAAACTGCTTTTGGAAATCCTGAGCAATGTCTCCTAACAGTAGCTGGAGAAGATTTACTCAGTTCCAATGCTCTGTTATCTCCTGCCTCTGGGTCTACATTGAGAAAGTGGTGCCTTCTCTCATTCCCAGAAACCCTAGACCCTCAAAAGTAGGTCTAGCATGTCCCCTGGCTTCAATGCCAGCCAGGCTCATTTGCTCCCTTACTATGTAATACAAGATGAGCCTTAGGTTAACTCAAACCCTCCTTCTGCCAGTCAGTCTTACCCCCCACCCCCAGAGTTCATGTGCACCACCAGGGACCCTTAACCCACAGAAATAAGCTCCTTCCTTTCCTCACATGGACTCAATATCACCAGGGACCCTTAACCCACAGAAATACTCAAGCTCCTTCCTTTCCTCACATGGACTCAAACAGTTAACAACTTTTAAGGCAACCCATGCCCCAAGGTAGATTCCAATTTTCAGAACAGGCAAGGCAGTGAGCATTCTTTCATGCAATCCAGTGCTGGGCTCAGTGAGCAAGCAACCATTTTGGAGAACATGGTCTGAAAAGCAAGGCATGTATACGGTTGAAACCGTACAAGACAGAGCTACTGGAGCCATTGAATGAAGACTTGAAAGTTTTGGTAAATCTATCAGGTTAAGTCAGAAAATTGTGTTCGTTTAGAAGTGTATTTGAACATCCACATATTGCCTTATGAGGCTCATCTTCTGTTAGCCCTTTCTGAAAGTGATTTGTGTTCATTACTTCTGAAGAAATATGCCACTTATTAAACAAATGAATAGCACTTCAGAAATTACCTTTAAAATTGAATTCTATATATTGTTTCATAACCACTATATTAAACCCCAGGTTATCCCATCCTTTATTAAACATTCAAAGGTTACCACTGATCTCTGAAGTGAATTATATTTATTAAGATTTTATTCTACTCTACTGTCCATACAGATAGAGAATGCAATACAAGGTAAGGAAACACCTTACAGTTTACCCCACCCGCTGTAGAGGAACTGGGGGGAGGGGGGGAATCACCCAGATACTTGCAAGTGGTATTTTTCCTTAGGAAACCATTAGATCAGCATGACAGCATGCATGTAATCAGGACACATGCTGCTGTACACAAAGTCAAATGCAGTGACTCAACTTTCACAGATCCACAAAAACCCTCAATGAGCTATAGCAAAACACCATACCTTTACCAGCAGCAGGTATGAAACTGCACTGTCCAAGAAACATTAACTTTGGTCACATAGTAGATATAATCTGCTGACTCTGGGAGAATGAGCACATAACTATTTCCATGAGGAAACTCTGTCTCCACATTACCTGCCGCAAGAGGTGTTTAGCCGACCAGCTCTCACTGCCTGTGTCATGCCTGCCTACATGATTTCACCAGAACTGGCCTTTTGCAGGCAAAATTAACAGAGTTTGCTGGCAGTTCTCACCAACAGAAAAGGTTCTCACCAACAGAAATCTCCCAACAATTCTTCCAACTGGGTTCCCACACACCCTGTAGCCTAAGAAGCCACTAAATGTTCTGTGAATGAAAATAGGCTGTGTGAGTTATGTTTCAGAAAACTTTTGCAAGTGGTTTTATTTACAATGCCAGAGGTTTCTGACTTTCTGACATCTTACATATTTTAATGTTACAGTGATACATTGAAGAGCATGGAAAGGCTAGCTCGCAGTGCTAATTGCCGTAAGAAGTCCACACTTAGTTCAGTTTTATTCAGAGCAGAGGAAAAGTAAGGACATCAGATTACACTGATAAAAACTCAACCATAGAATTTTAAATCTATATTCAAACATTACACATGCAGAGAACACCACTCTACTAGCATAACTTCATTTGCTGCTGCATTTGTCTAATATTAACAATTATAAACAGAGCAGTGCAACTTGGTATTTGGAACAATCCTTACAGTGTTAGGTGTCAGGCACAAGACTTCACTTCTCTTCACACCACTGGTTCTCTTTGCGTACCTAAAATGGGGAAAAAAACAATGTATGTACAGAGCTTGATGCTTCTGAAACTTCTAGCTAAATGAAGAGTCGAGTCACCCAGACTATATGCCGGGGTGGTCAAACTGCGGCTCGGGAGCCACATGCAGCTCTTTCACACATACTGTGTGGCTCCCAGCAGGGCAGCTGAGGAAGCAAGAGGGAGGTCTGCCCCCCCAATCTTCCCTTCCCCGTCCACTGTTTCCCTGAGAGAGCCAGTTTGGTGCAGTGGTTAAGTGTGCGGACGCTAATCTGGGAGAACCGGGTTTGATTCCCCACTCCTCCACATGCAGCTGCTGGATGACCTTGGGCAAGCCATAGTTCTCTCAGAGCTGTTCTCTCAAGAGCAGTTTCTGTCAGAGCTCTCTCAGCCCCACCTACCTCACAGGGTGTCTGTTGTGGGAAGGGGAAGGGAAAGGAGTCTGTAAATCGCTCTGAGACTCCAAGTGAAGGGCGGGGTATAAATCCAATCTCTTCTTCTTCCCTCCCTGGATAGGCTTGAGGTGGTGGGGAGCAGAGAAAGAAAGCAACTTTAACAGCATTCTCAAAGCCCCCCCCCCCGTTGGCTTGAAGATGGCATCTGTTTCTTTAAATCCCTTCTCCAAGCTAGCTGGCATGGGGGCTGGGGGCCTTGGAGGATGCATTTAAAGTTAGAGTTGCTTTCTTTTCACCTCCACCTGCCTCCTCCCATCTATTTGCTTTGTTTCTTTCTCTCTCCTTCTTTCTTTCAACCTTTCATTCTTTCCACCTTTCTCTTTCTCCCTTCCTTCCTTCAGTCCTCCCTCCCCCATCTATTTGCTTTCTTCCTTTTTGTCTTCCTTCTTTCCTCCCCCTCCCCATTTGCTTTGCTTCTCTCCCTCCTCCATCTATCTGCTTTCTTTCCACCTTTCTTTCTCCCTTTCTTCCCCCTCCGTCCCCCATCTATTTGCTTTGTTTCTCTCTCTTTCCACTTCTCTTTTAAACAAATAAGCACCATTAGCAAACAAATAGGACAAATAAATATTATCAATATCTGTTTTTACCCCTTTTATTTTATTTTTGGCAGTCTCATTTAATGTTAATAAAAAGCAAATTGGCATATTTTAAAATAAAAACATGAGTGTGATATTTGTTCATGTCTTGCGGCTCTCAAACATCTGACATTTATTCTATGTGGCTCTTAGTTAAGCAAGTTTGGCCATCCCTGCTATATGCCATTCGTATAACCTCACCATTCTGAGGTTGGGAGAACTGCTTCTAATACAGTTATAATTAAAATATGGAAATCATGAAAATTTTCTACTGCAGATCTCAAATTAGAGGCTTAAAATAGAAACTGTATGTTGTCGAAGGCTTTCACAGCCAGAGTTCATTAGTTGTTGTAGATTTTCCAGGCTATATGGCCGTGGTCTTGGCATTGTAAAACCTAATGTTTCGCCAGCAGCTGTGACTGGCGTCCTCAGAGGTATAACACAGAAAGATGGAGTACTCTCTGCGTCAAGGTGACAAGAAAAATGGTAGGCAGGTAATTTATATCTACTCAGGAAGGTGGAGTAGGACTGAGTCATTATCTTGTAGGAGTTCCCCAGGCTGTGACATGCTAATGGAGGAGCTTTCCTGAGGAGGTTCTTTTGCATATGGATTGGTTGTTGAACTTCTAATCCTATCTGTAGTGCTGTTGTAAGATGTAGAGCATTTTGTGTTTTTCAGGACAGGAAACCATGCCCTATTTATTTTTAAACTTTCTTTCCTGTTGAAATTGTGTTTATGAATTTCAATAGCTTCCCCATGTAATCTGACATGGTAATTGGATGTGTTGTCCAGCCTTTCAGTGTCTTGGAATAAGATACTGTGTCCTGTTTGAGTTAGGCTATGTTCACACCCTTCTCCCTTGCAGAACTCAAGGCAGCTTACAATATAAGTAAAACATTATTAAAATAAATTAAAAACAGACAATAAAAAAGTGATTACAAAAAAACAATTTAAAAGTCAACAATTTAAAAGCTTCAAATAGGACTGCCAAATAGGACTGCCTGGTTAAATGCAGTCCTAAATAAAACTGTCAACTGCCTCATGATGACTGATAATGAGGGGGCCAGACACACCTCCTGGGGGAGCTTGTCCCATAATCTAAAAGACCCTCTCTCGTGTGCCTACCAGACAAGCATCTTTGATTAGCGGGACAGTCAAGAGGGCCTCTCCTTGTGATCTTCGGTCCCGGACAGGAACATGTGCCAGTCCCAAGCCATGCAGGGTTTTCAAATAAAAAACAACACCTTAAATTGGGCTCAGGAGTGCATTGGTAGCCAGTGTAATTGCTGTAATATCGGGGACATATGCTCCCAGTAGCTGGCCCAACCGGCAGTCGAGCCACAGCATTCCGCACTAGCTGAAGCTCTTCAAGGGTAGCCCCAAGTACAGTGCATGGCAATAGTCGAGTCTGGATGTAACTAAGGCATGTACCACTGTGGCTAGATCTGACTGAACCAGGAACAGGCGCAGCTGATGCACTAGTTGAAGCTAACCAAATGCACTCTGAGTCACAGCAGCCACCTGGTTTTTTAAGGTGACCACCGAGTCAAGCAGCACCCCCAATCTGTGAACCTGGCTTTTCAAGGGGAGTACTACCCCACACAAGACAGGAGAGAGCTGAAGTTCCTGATGTGCCTTTCTAACAAGAGAACCTCTATCTTGTCAGGATTACATTTCAGTTTGTTCACCCTCATCCAGCCCATTACTGACTTCAAGCACCAGTTCAGAGCATCAACAGCATCCTCAGAATTAGGTGCAAAAGAATGTTAAAGCTGGGTACCATTGACATATTGGCAACATTGCAGCCTGATGATCTCTCCCAGTGGCTTCATATAGATAGTAAATAGCATGGGGGATAAGGTAGAGCCCGGCAGCACCCCACAGGTCGGGAAGTTCTTTCTCTCAACCTCAATTCGCCATCAGGAGAACAGAAAAAACAATGATACACTTCTTTGGTTGTAAACACAAGATAGAAATCAGTGCCTCCCAATATGGCAAAGGCATTGCAATCATACCTGCAAATGCACAATCTTGCTGGAGCCATCTCCCAGCGTAGCCAACCAGGCAGCTGTGGCTGCTATGGTAGTTGCCAACACATTGGCCTCATGTCCCTCAGAACAGCATGTTTCACAGCTCCTCAACATTGTGTGGCGGAAGCAGAGACGGGGGAGCTCTGCTGGTGACAGCTGGGCAAATTCAGAGCTCACGGGAACTGCTGCTTGGAAATGGGTGACATCCCCCCCCCTTAATCCTTGGTGGTTGTGGGTAATTATGGACTAGAGGGTGCAGCTTGCCATGTAGTGCCCGCTATGCCATGTGCAGCAGTTACAAGCACAAGCACTGGTGAGTGTACCTCTTCCCATGGCAAAGTTTCCCATTTGCCATCATTTCCCTTCCTGCAACATACCCACAGCAAACCGCCCATCCCTTTACTTATTTACATGCTCTCTGCATGCAGTCCTATGACTACTCACTAGCAGTAAGCCCTTACACAGGACTGCACTGCAAATGACCTAGTCTGTAGACCCTGTGTCTATTCTAATAAGGAACCGTGGCTTAGTGACAGACTTCGGCAGGCAGAAGATCCCAAATTCAATCCCCAACAACTTCAGTTAAAGGGATCAGGTACACAAGAGATCAGTGCTCCCAGGAGGGCCAAGGCACTGCAATGAGTAAGATCTCGACCTAAAGCCCTGTAGTGTTTTTTGCCAGCCAGAATAACAATATTAACCTTGGCAAACCGGTGCTCTGATTCAGTATAAGGCATCTGCCTGCCTGCCTGTGCGCCTTGCCTGGGAGTCATGGCTGACTTCTGGTGACCGCTACTGGGGGATTAGATGTTTTTCAGAGAGGCGGCTTGATTAGCCAAGTATTGCCAGAGTCGGCCCTGCTTAGCTTCCAAGATCTGACAAGACTGGGCTTGCCTGGGCTATCCAGGTCAGGGCCATACATATATATGTATGTGCGTATACAAGTTGCATGAATGTTTCCCTCCCTCCCTCCCAATTTGATGGCAAACACAAACACAGGAATGGGGACTGGAGATGCTGCAGGGCAAGGCCCAGCTGATGAAGCCCACTTAGCTACCATCAAGGACTGTTCTGGCTCAGGTAACAGTTTTGAATTCTGCATCCTGTACAGTCTAGAGAAACTTACCATAGCCCATGCTGGGATTACCATGCAGTTGTACAGTATTTTGTCAAGGTAGAGGGTCGAATCCAGGGTTCTGTCAACTCAAGGTACTGATGATCACAGATCTCTCCTGCACTCCCCCCACCCAGCAGTGTTTCCTGACACAAGGAAAGTTTATTCCCAGGGTGCCAGAATTCACACTGATTAATAGTCACACAGGTCAGGAAACAGGAATAGGGAAGGGGATGGAGGAGGCAGAAATGGGGGAGGAAGACTAAAATAATCCTTTCTGCCTCTCCCATCACATAGTTCCACTGACTGAAGAGGGAGTAATGTCACCCACTTCCCCCTCCTCTGCAGCCCCCCCCCTGCCCTGTGTGTCTATTAGTCTATGCCTGTCCTACTACCCTAGAAGCAGAGATCTCTCCTCTGTTGATGAGTTGTACTTGCAATGAAACAGGGGAAGGAACTTGCTGCTCAGCAGTGACGGAGGCAAGGCACTGGATTTATACTCTGCTTTCTGGATTGGTCAAGATGCACTGTGTGCGAGCAAGGAACCATTCTGGAATAGTTGCTCTAAATGCCATAGACAATGAAAAGCTGCTTTTTTTGTGAGAACCGTCACAATGGACTGGATGCAGCGAACCGTAGGTGCAAGGATCTCTCCCCAGCAATTCCTTCCAGCCCAGAAAAAGTTTATTTCTCTATCTTACTGCTTTAAGGTCTGTGAAACATACTTTGCATCTATGTGATCCTGACCCAGAGTTGCTATGGTATTTCTCCAAACAAAATTTTTACTTGAGCCAAGGTGTCCCTTCAGCTACTGCCAGCAGATGAGAAAAGCATTATGTGCAGTACATGTCCTATCATGAGCAGTGGCAAAACTATAGCATACCTGAGCTTCTTCCTCTTCAGTGAAGTCATTCTTGATATTGAAAGTCTTGCGGATTTCTTCTGGTGTTTTCCCCTTAATCATATTTGCAACAGTTTTGCATGTCACATCAAGTAAACCTTTGATGTCTAAGTAGTTGGCAGCCTATGAAAAAAAAAGTGGGCAGATTTAAAGCAGATTTAAAGTCTTCACTTCTTTCCTACTCCTAAAAACAGATACTTAACGGGATCACCTTTTCTTACACATACCAGCTCGGCATTATAGATCTTTATATCTTTCTCTGTGTGCCCAGCACCCACCTGTGGACTAAAGGTGGGAGGAGATGCCAGATAAAGGGCCCAGATAGCAAGAAATAATTCTAAGTACAGTTATGAAATGTAAACTTTTTATATCATCTGACATTATTGACGTTTTAAACTTAGGTTGATTTTTAGGCTGCTGCTTTTGTGATTTTATGGACTGTTTTATTAGTGATATTTTGTGCTACTGAACGGGAAATTTTATCTGTTTTTATTGTTTTATTTGTATACAGAAATCTGCTTCAAGACCTTTTTAGGTTTAGAACTGCAGGGTATTTTTAAAAAAATCAATGTTATTGTGTAACACCCTAAAAGGCAGTGAGAAAAGTACACTGTACTTCACTTAAAAGTATCTATTTGCATAAAACTACACTTAAATCTAATTAAATCTAAAAGCTATCTTATTCCATTTAGAGTGCCTGTACAGATTAAGCAAATTTTCAGAATAAGCAGGCATTATCAGTTCTGGAATTCATATTCTATAATATAAGCAGCCTGAATGCTTATGTGATGGTGGAAACCAACTGGTTTTCTTGGAAGACCATTTTGAAAACTACTCAGGAAGACAACCAATATTGCCATCAAGCCTCCATATTTGTTGGGCCCACTTTGATTTCCCCTTCATCTTAGCTCCATGACTACTCACAGCTAGGTGCAATCCATTTACAGAACTAAGCGTGAGAACCAGAAAAGGTACATGACTCAACATTAAACAACATACACTCACTTCTTGTGCTCCACTTTTCATTGCATAATCAAGATCACCTCCGATACACTTATCCTTCCCTTCCAGAGAGCTTCCTTTCTCTCTTTATTTGTTTTTGGGGGGGGGTTGTGTGTGTGTGTGTGCACATGCCTGGAAGTCATGGGGCTTGGACGTTTCAGAGAGGTGGCTTGCTATTGTTTGTCTCTGCATCCCAGCCCTGGTGTTCCTTGGAGGTCTCCCATCCAAATACTTGCCAGGGTCGGCCCTCCTTAGCTTTCGAGATCTGATGAGATTGGGTTTGTCTGGGCTATCCAGGTCAGGACCTTTCTCTCATTATTTAAATAAGATCTCAAAACACATGATCTCCTTTCACCACACCTCCCACCAATCAGGAAGTTCCCTGATAAGCCTAAACCCCCTGTTACTTCGGAAAGAAGGTGGTGTCTTTCTTATAATTTGTCACTTTGCCTTAATCTGGAAGGTGGGTCTCATTCATAGACATGTGTTTAGTACATACGTGTCTAGTACATACAAAGGTATATCAGTGAGACCTATAGTTGCCACACAAGCCACTCTATTCATGTTCTCTTTCATTTATAGATTCAGAAGGCCACATTTAATCAAAGTCTACCAGTTACAAAAATCTAGGTTATCGTCATTAATGTTGGCCTGTTTAAATAAGCTGCTTATATTGTACACATGCTTTTCTGGGCCTCTGTAATAATGAAGCTAGTCCTTGGAGTACTAATATTTTAGGCTTATAGGCTTTTACTTAGTAGAACTCAGACAGAAGTAAATGTCCCTGCAAATATTAAATAATAATAATATGAATTCCATAACACACAATTCCCTTCAAATAGTCTATTATTCTGCTATATTAAAGAGTACAAACTGTCTGGAGAAAAAAAAGCCCTGACCCTTTCATAGAGGCTTAACAGGATGTTGTGATTTTATTTACCTCCATGCCATGAAAAGCTTCAGGTACCCATTAAGCCTCTATTAAAGGGACAAGACATTTTTTCTCCAGCTCTGCTAGGAACTCTAACTACATTCAGTATCTGTATATCTGGCAACCAAACGAGATATAAGAAGCAAACCTACCAGGATAAGTTCAAAGAGAGTTCCTTGATCTACTTTAAGAAATTCTTGGTCCCAAACAGGGATGTCATCTGTTCGTTTCTCTTTGTTCTCATCATCCTCAGGAGGTGGTGGGTCATCTTTATGGTGGGTACACCACTGGATCACCTTAAATTAGAATGGAGTAAACGTCTTAGCCTCAGATTAAAATGTATCATCCTTACAACTAAGGGATTGCTTAGTTTTCATCAGTGCTTGAACTCCCACATCCGAAGGCCCTTTTCCACAGAAGTGCACCATTGCTGATCACTGCTCTACCTTTTTGCCATCAAACTATTTAGAATTATGCGCTGCTGGCACAATTAATTTACTACTAACCTCTCAAAAGGAAAGTGCCAATGACAGCAGCATAATCTCAAAGCACACAGCGCCTGCAGATGCTGTGAACCACATTTCATATTATCATTGTTCTTATTTTCTGAATTCCGATTTTGTGATGTATTTAAGCATGCAGTACTTTCAACTGACAGACACTAATGTAAAGGATCATGCACAAACGGGAACAAATGAAAATGGAATAAAAACTGATGGGAATGCTACCTTGCACAAATCATATCCTAAAGTAATTACATATGCCTATGCTGTCAATGGAGTGAGACCAGAAATAAAGCAAACTGTGCAGGGATTTAACCATTTTGATGAGACATGGATTGACCTTCGTAACTTCAGCTTAAGTCTATAGCTGATATCTGCATCTGAACAACCAAAGAAATTGCCCGACCATCTGTTTTCACCAATTCTTTCTGCTGAAAGAGTCTCACACTTGATGCTCTGCTGCTAGGAATGCCTGTACCACTTCTCTTTAAGCCTCCCTGCACAGTCAAAAGGTATTCCTAGTCTTCATTTTACATTATAGTGATGCTTATTCTGTCATCTTAACACAATATCATATTCCTGCGTAATACACCTAGACACCTTTGTTGCATATGTGCTTGAGAGGGGAAGGACAGCCATGCTGTTGCTTACATCTTGTGTATGTAGAACTGGGTTTGTAACTAGCACAAGCAGAGAAGTGGCATGCCAGTACAGAAAGAGAATATAGGCCCCGGTCACACGCGCAGGAAACTGCGGGGGAGAAGCGCGGCTGTTTGCCCCGGGGCAAACTAACACGCAGTAAAGCGATCATATCTCCTGTGGAGGTTCTGTGGAGGTACCGTGGAGCTTCCGTGGTTACAGAGAGGCGTCGATCACAACACATGCCTGCGCGCAACGAAGAAGCGCGCGGCGCGGCGAACTGGGTTTCTTTTTTTGTGTACACTACAAATGCGCATGCTCCGTTGGGTGCGTGTGCGCAACCACGGAGACTTGGGGGAAAAAAAACCTTCTTCGCAAGGGGACATGGGCGGGCGCCGGATGCCACCGGAAACGCGATCAGACGCCCGCCCTTGCCCCGCAGTTTCCGGAAACTAGTACCTCCGAGGTACTAGTTTTTTGCTGCGCGTTTTCGGGAGGAAGCCTCGGTTGTGCCACGGAAGCGCTACGCTCCCCAGATGTGCTGGTGAGATCGCGCCCGGAAACTCCGCCTGTCTTCCGTATCTCTTGCGTGGCTAATGTTGCGTGTGACCGCAGCCATAGATGGGCAGTTTTACTGCTCATGGCAGACAAGCACTGGACTCCAGTACTGGGACTACACAGGGTGAGAAATTACAAAGACAGAGGACAAAGACTCTGCAAATGCACAATGGCATAAGAATGGGAGAGGCAATTACTCCCCTCATTTCTAACAATGCTATACAATAAACAGAATTGCTGCAAAAACAGACACTATTTAGGAGATGCTTTGGGTTATTCTAGACAGATGTACAACTGCATTTCTCCAGCACTAGCTGCATTTCTTTACAATGTCAGAATAGCTGGGGAGGGGGGGTCTGGACGTTATGCAACCAGATAAACAATTTAAAAGCATATTAGTTCATGCATCACCAAAAAAGAACTGCTGTTCAATATCCTACCTTTTTTAATATAGCTGCATTAACATTTGGAAGAGGAACAGGATCATCATCCCCTTCATCATCCATTCCTAAATCTAAGAACAGAGAAGCCAAGCAATTAGATCGCTAGAAAAGCTCTACTTAATAGCTGCTTTCAAATTCAGTATGTGATCAATTTGTGGAAATTTACATTCATATCATGGAAAATTAGATGCTAGTTTACAACATTTATTCAAAAATGGACACTTGTTCATTCAAGCCTATGCTCCGAGCAAAAGTACAGTGACAAACTTTACACTCGTTATTTTCAGTCACAGTGAAACAACTAAGTACTATATATCCAGGCACACTAACCCTTTTCCAATGCAAAACAAGCGTATGTTAAAGATCCACATTATTAAACACTAACGCACAGGTTCCATTTATCTGTTCAAAACTGAATGAATTAAAAGGAATAGGAATTTGCCCTAGCACCCATCCTGAGGCAAGATTTCTAGTCGGCCTAGCAACATACAGAAGTGCAAAACTGTTTGACTATTATTAGAGGCCTGCAGACATACAATTTGGCTGGTAATCTACCAACACAATCCTAGCTACCCTGTTCATTTGCACATGCACTCAGAACAACATTTTTCATTTGGATTTATTTCAATACCACTATGCCTACGCCACCTTCTACCTCCCAGAGCATAAAGTGGAGGGTGAAGAAGGAAAAACCACCCCTGCATCTCCTTTTCTGCCCAGCCCCAATCAGTCCTCAGTTATTGTAGCTATCTTAGCAAATAAACTAGTTGCATCCAGCACTGCATTCCTGTGGCCACAATAACTTCTGCCTACAGAACATGGCTTTTGCAGCTCCCCTCTCCCACAGCAACCTGAAATGCCCCCTGAACTTCTCTTGAATGCACCATGGGTAGAAGTCCTTTTCCCCCATGGAAGCACTGCACTGGATTCAACCCAGCTGTATGCTGTTTGCTCTGGCAGTAGCCACCTTGAGAGAAACTCTTGACAGAGCAAGCAGTTTCTCTGTGAACACTCTGGTGCTAAGGACTGACTGAGGGCCATAGCGGAACCTTCTATTCCTTTTCACATCCAATGTGTGTATAAAACTGGTGGTCACAGTTCTATGTGCATTTATGTGGAAGAAAAACCCACTGGATTCAATGGGACTTGTATCCAAGTAAACACAAATACAATCAGACAGTAACCAAGTTTCTTCTCTACCACCCTTGGCTTACACACTCACATACAACAGGGGTCCCCAACCTTTTTGAACCGGTGAGCACAAATTCTGACACAGCATGGTGGCCGCAGCAATTAAATGGCTACCACAAGAGGCGGAGCCAGACACAAAATGACTGCTTAACAGTTTAACTTCAGTAATATAACGTAAATCCTTGTGCAGTGGTAGCAGCTGCTGCCAAAGCAACATTAAAAAAAAACTGCACAGCCAATCAAATCTCCAATAATCAATCAGAAGTCTTGCTGGGCAAAAGCCCCAGCCGAAAAGGTTCAGAGGGTGCCATGGTGCCCACGAGCACCATTTTGAGTACTCCTGTAACACAAAATGGCTAGGCCCCTGGCTGCCCAAGAGTCCAACTGGACCTTAGGAGACTACTACCTGGTACACAGCATAAAGCCTATCTTAAATATTTCACCAAGTACACATACACTTTCTCACCTGCAAGCCAAGAGACAAGTACTGGAACGTTCTCCTCCTGAGAACAGAAACAGAGGCTACTAAAACATTCCCTTGTATACATCAGGAAAAGACAAGGTAATGTCATAAAGGACAAGCCTCTGTTGATGTTTACCTGGGATGGAAGGCACTGAAGAGCTTATCTAGGTCTGTGCAGGAATAAGACCGAGGTGCCTGTTAAAACACTGGCCCTGTTAAAAACTGCCAACTATGGGAACATGGTGTGCCCCTCTGAAAACTTAAGAGCTGCTGCTGAGCTCATTATGCAATTGTGTTCAGATATAACAGTCATGTCAGGCTTGAACAGAGAAGGTACCATTGCAAAATATATAAAATAATGTTTAAAAGTGTGCCAAGTTATTTGGAACTATCTAAATGTGTTAGATGTCACACTAATTCTTAAGATTTACTAAGAGACCCATTAAACCAGACTTTTATGTTCAGCAACATTTTCTTCAGAAGTTTCAAGGTGTTATTAATGTAATTTCACTACACATTGGCCAGACAATGTGAACATGACACTTTCACAGAGAAAAGTGTTCTATTTTAACCACTGAATAAATTCCTATGCATTTTACTGAAGAATTTATGAGGTAACAGATCTAGGTAAACTGCTGGTTATTAAAAGATGGCCAGCTGCACCATTATTGGATGGATTTATCTACTTTTCAGAGAACTGTCAGCTGCCCTAAAACAGCAATGGAGACATAAGATGAAATGCCTAGAGATAAATCATGCAGGCATGGACCCAAGGAGAGTAGGTCCAAAGTACATTAATTCTCCAGAAATAAATAGCTATTTTCCCCTTAATTCTAACAAAAACCCACTAAATGTGTCACAAATCTCTTAAAACCTGAGCAGAAATTGGATGATACCCATAAGGTCTTAACAGAAGCTGGAAAGGGCCATCTACTTGCTCTATACTCTAACCCAAGGGTCCCCAACCTTTTTGAGCCTGCGGGCACATTTGGAATTCTGACATGGCATGCTGGGCTCAGGAATAAAATGGCTGCCACAAAATCCCAGCCGCAGGAGGCGGAGCCAGACACAAAATTATTTCCACAGCTTAACTTCGGGTAACACAATGTAGATCCTAGTGCTGTGGTGGCAGATGCTGCCAAAGCAACATTTTAAAAATCTACACAGCCAATCAAATTTCCAATAGCCAATCAGAAGCCTTGCTAGACAAAAGCTCTACCCGGCCCCACCCACTTCCTAAAAACACTTGAGGGCACCCACGGACATCATGTCACCCACGGACATCATGTCATGGACTGTTGGTCTAACCACACTTCATGACACTGGAACAAGAACATTTCAATATACTTAACTGGCCACACATGCAACTTTATAAGTATTTTAAACATAGCGTATTTACCAATATTGCTAGCACCAATTTGGTAATGGCAGCGAATTCAGAGCCTCAAGCTTTCAGCAACTGAGGCATTCATCAGGCCAAAGATAAGTAGTAAGCAGTGTTCAGTCTAAGCTGAGTTAGTGTGAGCTAGCTCACAGTTTTTTGGCCTCCGGATCACACATTTTTGTCTTAGCTCAGGAAGGATGGCTCCAGAGCAAACTGATTTATGCAGTAGCCAAATCGCTCGCTCACAACTTTAATGCCAGTAGCTCACAAAGTAGATTTTTTGCTCACAAGACTCCACAGCTTAGAGGGAGCACTGATAGTAAGAAGTCCATAAAGATAAGAATCAGACTTCTAAACATTATGAACAGTTTGTATTATATAAAGGCCATTTGGATGGGTTCCACAGCTCTTTTTAATGTAGTGGCACTGTCCAAATGAAGCTTTTATCCTGCTAAATTTAATTGCTTCAAAGGATTCATAATTCTAGCTATCTGCTCAAATTCCCATGCATACCAGTAAAGGCTTAACCACAACTGAAGCACAACCATCATTACATACCCTAAAATGCATGTGTCCCCCCCCCGGCCCCGGCCCCGCCCCAGGTGTTGAAGAGTCTGCCTTGCTCTGTTTTAATTATGGAGCAGACACTTTACATTTTTTCCTCTAAAGTATTAAATATATGGCCCTTCAGTTTCAGTGACTTGTACAGATTATGTTGTTCCATTCCTTCCACCTGCTCTCTGATCCAATCACCTTTAAACATAATGATCAAAGGAATTCCTTCAGGAGTCACAGCATCCATGACCATAGCAACAGCTTTCAGAAACATATAAGGAACAGCTCTGAAAAAAATATAAGCTGTTCATTCAAAGCTCTGCTGGAAAAATGTAGAAGGGTCTGAAATGCATTACCATATTTGCTCATATCACTGATGGTAGAAAGTAAGTGATTGCATTATGATAGTCATGAAACACACTTGAGCTATGATATTATCCCACAAACATATTCCATATCATGCATGTCTTCTTTAGTTGGCTGTCTGCAAGTTACCATATCAACTACATGATACCCTTACCTTCCAACATAGTCTTGATTGTTACAGACTGCTTTGCAATTTCAACATCAACCTCAAATATCTCTCCATCAGAACTCTGCAGTTTAATTGAAGGCATCTAGAACAGAAAAAAATATTTCCTTAGCTACTTTTGATGACGGAATGGGGTAGATCTATTAGAGATCCATCTTCCATGTGTTACAGGTGGGGATGGGGGCAATACTTAAAGGTAACTGCTTACCTAAACTCACCTAATAAACTCACATCTTTGAATACTGGACCCTACAGATTACAAATTGATCTTCCCTAGCTTTACATGAGCAACACTGTTTATCATCAGTTGCCAGTTGTGTGCAAGCTCAAACTAGACAATGTTTTTCAAATACTGCAAGTAGCTCATTTCAGAATCTCATTTAGATGGCATGCTGCTTTGCAAAATAAGTTGTATACGCAATTGCTTTACCTGAACTTGAATAGTTTTTGTACCAGTCTGAAGGGTCCATTACTTACCTGCAGTATTATCTTCCTTCAAATGAAGATATAATCATCACAGAATTAGAGAACCAGTGCTTGAGACTCCGCAAAGCCTCATTTCTTGGCCAATGCTCTGACTCCAGACATCTAGACTGGGTACCAGGCAAGCTTCCAACCTATGATACTGCAATTTCAAGTGTATTTAAGACAGCTTTTTTTAGCATCAGGGAGGAATACTAGCCTTCTAACTGGTATATCACAAAAGCCAAATGATAAGTTGAAAGACATTATGTTAGAGAATGAACTTGATATTTACTTTATGAACTATATTTATAGCTACACACAATGGACTGTGCACACACACATAGGCTCAAAGAACTGTACACTTCAAGTCACCTGTTGTGATGGTACACATAGAAGGTGCCTACACAAGCCTTACACGTGAATAAGGTTTCAGCTACACAGTTACCAGCCTGGTGAAAGAAGCACACACCTCCATTATTGTGAGCAATGAGAAACAACAGCTCTGAGCAGAGACAGCCCCCATTGCTGAACTGTTTGTGGTCACGTACCACCCATCAACTGCTTTGTTCCTGCACTGGTATTTCCTGCCAAATGGACATTTGGTTATCAATAGAATGGCCAGCTTCATCAACACCACAATGGAGCATCATGGCGCCAAGGTTTTCACACCTGTCCAGATGCCATCCTTTGAGCAAGGTTTTAGGTTTCAATATTGGCCACCCCTCTTAGGTAACCACCCTCCCTACATGCAGCCAATAGGATTGTTTTTGGGACGGACTAACAGGTAGGTGGGTCTACAGGTTGGAACAGGTACCACCCATCTAATGGACCCACTATAAAAGGAAAGGACTATTCACTTGGCCCTTCCTAGCTAGCAATCCCCACAACACCCCCTATCCGCTTTTATTCCCCTTGAGTCCCACTTGCTATCCCAAACCCTTGCCTCTACTTTGATCTCTTGATCTGCAGTCAAGAGACCCCCACACAATCCGGCTAACTTCTGGTAGTGTGGATCCCTTTATTTTCTATTTCTTCCCATCCATTCTTCATTGGGACAACCAAGCTGCAAGACAGATAAGTATCGCCCATCATCATCCCTACCTGCTAATGCAACAGTGCTTATTTTAATACTGTAATTCTTAGGAACTTGATTGAATGTGTGAGTGCATCAGTATTGTTTGTATGAGATATTTTCAAGTAAAAGACATCTATTTTAAACTACAACCGCCTCGAATCTTTTACTGGTAACCCTTGGTGGGACCTTGGTATAAACTGGCAAGAACCCATTTATAAATTGCCAATTGCTGTAAATAAAGCAATTCGGCTAACAATTAGATGACAAACCATAGTATTAAAGTTCAAAGTGAGTTAACTTTATTGACTGACATTCAAGTCAGTTTATGAAATAATAATAAGATGTAAGGTGCCTAATCATGATTCTTAATACACAAATGCAGTGATACTGCAACAGGATTTTGTAAACTGTTTACTGGAAGCAAGATCAATTCTCAAAATATACGCTGATCATACCTAAATTATAGTAGACTCTGAACCTGCAAGCAATTAAAATGATTTAATTAATTTTTTCCAAGGAGATCTCACGCACAAGAACACTTTTTCCTTTTAAGGGTTACTGATTCCTATGGATATATTAACAGTTTAATTTTGGAACTGGGAGGGAAAAAATGAGCCAAACTGCTACTAGTTCATACATTTAAACTGATCTGCTTGCAGAGATGTAGAAGAAATTTCTGTGTGCTTTGGGCTCCCTTGGGAAGGTCTTCTTTTCTGAAGATTTATTGTTTCATAAAAGTATGAACAATGAATGTATGCTGTTACCAATAGCCTAGCAATGTCATCATTGTAATTAATGCTTGTCATGATTATCCCAAGGAACTGCCTGAGGATGTTTTATTGATTTGTAATAAAAAGGGGGGGAGATAAAAGATATTTAATCATCCAAAGATCAAAAATTCAGCTGATTGGCAATGCTTGTCTCTTCTCATGTGGTAAAAGGGAGATCATCAATCTGATCTAGAAGTTTTATCCTGGGACATAAAAATTAACTCGAGATACTTTTTTAATGTACGTGTATGTGTTTGTACATGCGTGCCTGGAAATCATGACTGACTTCTGGCAACCCCTAGTAGGGCTTGGGACATTCAGAGAAGTGGCTTGGTATTGCCTGTCTCTGTGTCCCTACTCTGGTGTTCCTTGGAGGTCTCCCATCCAAGTACTTGCCAGGGTCGGCTCTGCTAGCTTCCAAGGTCTGACAAGATTGGGCTCACCTGGGCTACCCAGGTCAGGGCAGCTTGAGATACTTTTTAAACTCATATACTAACCAAAGGTTTAAAAAAGTATATAAATCAGTTCACACTGTATTTAGGGCACCAGAAATTTTTCCAATTATTCCACTGTACACTAGTTAGGCTTAGTTCAGATGCAATGTCAAGCCAAGTGTTGAGACTACAAGAAAGAGCCTGGATGAAGCCTTGGGCTCACTAGTGCAATCCCTCTTCATCTCAGGGTGCAATCAAACAACATGCTCACTGCACTCTGATCGGGTCTCTAATTTGATCCGTTCTTGCAGCGTCCTGTAGAGAAACATTCAGACATCTCCGTTACCTTCTTCACTGCACGGTCACCCCGCTGAGGACTGTCCAGACATTTGCTGCGTGCCAACCACAGAGTGCACTGTCTGCTGGGGGGGGGTTGCCCTGTCCATTGCGCATGTGCATAAACATGTACACAAATCACCAAGCAATCACCACCAAGGAACTCCACAAACCACTGCCATTTTAATGTTTTCCCGCCAAAGGAAGACTCTCACGTGACCCAAGTTCTGGCTGAGGAACATGGTCCCAATAGGGAACCCTGACTAGGGGCTATTTTCAAAGCTGTCCCACCAACACAAACAACATAAAGTGTACTTTTCTTCACAATTACCCATGGCAACGCCCCCCCCCCCCCCGGGCTCCCAATTCCCCCCCCCCAAAAAAAGCCAGCACAGGAGCGCACCGGCGTATATTATAATCTAAGCAGTGTTTATGCAGTTATGTGCATATCACTAAGGGGTGAAAAAACGGTGCCACAATGAAAGGGATGCTTCCCTTCTATTGTGGCTTGACTGCACAGTGGAACGATCTGAAATTGGGAGAGGCACCCTAGATCCGTATGTGGCGGACTTTTCCCACTGTCAAGGAATTTGTGCCAGAAGAGAAGTACAGGAGGCCAAGTCTGCTGGAGTGGATAACAGATGTTGCTGTCTGATCATGCATTTCAAATCTGTCACAGAATCACCACAAGAATGGATCAAACTACTTGTCTGATCATACCCACACTTTGACAACATTCCTTACACTTTCTGGTTTCCAGTAAGTCATTACCATTAAACTAGAACCAACAGAATATAGCTTATATTTGCCCTACAAATCAGGACTACAGGCCATGCTTTGTTCTCAGTCAGTTTACAATCCTGATTTGAAGGCCAAGCACAAGCACCAGCTTGCCACACCCAGTACAGTGGCAAGATATAAATTACCAAAAACCAAGAGCTGGCTAGCATTCAATGCATGAGGGAAAGGGGAGAGATTTATTCTTCAGGTTCAAAACACAGTTCGGCATTCTACCTGAATCAGGTTGAAACTTCCTTTGAGGGTAGTTAGCACACCACATATGTGCTCTACTCCCTCCATCTCTTAGTTCACAGATGTTCTTACTGCACCTTGGCCCCGTTCACACGGAGCATTTGCCGCACTAAAGATACGGATGATAGGCGGATTTTCCGGGCGCAATCACACCGTAACATCTGGGAAGTGTAGTGCACCCGTGGCTAACCCGTGGCTTCGTGCCAAAGATACGGAGTAAAAAACTAGTACTTACGATGTACTAGTTTCCGGAAAACGCGGGGCAAGGGCGGGCGTCTGATTGCGTCCCATCCTAGTCCCATCGCAAACCGGTTAGTTTTTTAAAAAAGTCTTCACAGGATGGGCACAAACGATCATGCGCATGCTCACCTTTTGGTGAGAAAAAAAATATTCCCGTTTGCCACGGAAGCGGCACCTGGCGATTGCTGGTGTGATCGCGCTGCACTGCTTCTTTGCCGCGCTGCAGGATAGCCGTGTGATTGGCACCTCATGCCCTAACCACAGGACCTCGACGGGACATGTGATCCGGCGGCCGCACGTTATTTTGCTCTGGGGCAAACAGCCATGCTCCCCCCCACACCGCATTTTCCAGCCCATGTGACCGGGGCCCTTGCCAGTTTTGCTCATCTTGATGGCAACCAATCTGGTCACTGTGTATCATGTACAAGCTGAGGGCAGTACAAACACAGTTTTAAAAGGAGTGTAACCTTTTTAATTTGCAGCTTCCTCTACAACCACATTAACATATTTTCAGTAGGAGTACGTTAGTGAAAGTCCCAGGAGCTTAGTGCACATCAGCTTTTTTTTAAAAAAAAGTTACAGTACACACACAAAAACACAGCATGAAATTTAATGATACTGAAATACACGAGCTCACAGAACATTCTCTAGTAATAAACAAAAAGAACTTCCGAAAGGTGAATCAAAGGAATATAGTCTGAGGTGACACCAAGGTAGTTCATTTCAGGCTCTAGAATCTCCTATAATATAATGACATGTAAAATCATGTCAGAGAGCCAAAGCCCCCATCTAATGCCTCCCTTCCTAGCTGCTTTTAAAAGATGTTTAAATAGACCTCCAATTTTCTAGCCCTTAAACAATAAGGTGATCCTTTTAGTCATAACCAAGTTTGCGGCACCTTCAAGATTAACAAATTAACTGCATCAGACGTTTTGTTATACCACAATAAATGTGATCCTCAAAGTACCAAAGACTGTTACTCTGTCTGCAGAAAACATAGCTCTATTCATTCAGATTTGGTTTGGGAAGCTAATGTGTTCTATGCACCAAACAGCTGACTAATCACTTTTGCCTCTTATGCTTCCGCATATAACACTAACTAAATTAGTTTATTACATTGTAGAGCAATACCTCAATATCAGACCACAGCCCAAAACATTCCCCATGGTCCTAAACTAGTCTGAAAAAAGTCTACCATTCAGAAAAGCCTGCCCTAACATAGTCTTTGTTGTTAAAGACCAATTTTTAACATTTAAGCTCACTACCACAATAAAGATACGTTTTAAAGAGGCAGTTTTAGCAACCCCCTCACTCTGATTCTGACTGAACAGTTACAGTGACGAAGCGTAACCATAAACAGGATGTATTACAGTGAGTGCACATAAAACACACTGTCAGCAACGGACATTCCTGCCCTCATTGCTATATCTGTCGGCTACGTTAGGTCAGGAATGTGCAAAAAGCTGCGTTTCGAATCTGCATCCTTTCGTGCAAGCTGGCCGTGCCTTCCTGGAACTCGTCCTATTGTGCAAATATTATTTCAAGAGTGAACCCGTCTTCTTTTTTAGCCATTTGATCTACAACTCTCTGGCAGGGGGGGGGGGGGGAGCTGTTTTCGTAGCTCAGGAAGCTACAGTTGCAACTTGCTGGACAGAGAAAGCGCATAAACAACCCGAACAGTGCACAAGGCATTCTCCCGCTCCACCCCCACCTGCCGCTGAGACAGAGAAGGCGGCACTCCATCCACAGCCTTCGAGAAAGAAACGGCCGCTCCCTTAGCGGCCACCTGCAAGGCGCCTCCCCACCCTTGCCCGGTCTCCCCGCGGCGGCCTTCACGCGCCAACTTCTCCCCCTGCTCCCTCCCCTCGTCCAACACTGAGCAGGCCTCGACCAGGCCCCGACCACACTCACCGTGAGGCAGCAACGCGCTGGCAGCTCTCAGCCCCTCCTTCCTCGACGCGGACTGACTACGATGAGGAGCAAACCTCAGGCCAAGTTGCGGCCGCCGCCTCTTATAGAATTGGAGGAGGGGCGGAGCAGAATCTGCGCGAAGGCCCCGAAGGTCCCTCCGTCTTTTTCGCCTCACAAATACCGAGTGGCCGTGTCGCGCCTGAACAAAAACTGGGCAAGAGGAGAAAGACAAAAGGGAAGGTGGGGGAAGTAGAGGAAAGCAGACTCCCCCTGCGGTCTGATCGTCCAGTGTGCTAGCTGAGAAAGATAAAGAGGGACGCACTTTAGGATTTTGTATCCAGGGAAACGGGGATACTTGGCCTACGTCGCCGACGCTCTCCTCGGTCCTTCAGGCAGAAACTTAGACCCCTTGGATAGAAACAGTCTCATGGCAACGGTTACCTCAACGGTGGCGACCGCGATCTACGTAATAAACATAAGGACGTTCAAAGTACTCGGTCAGTGCAGCTAGTGCACTTTTTTCGACACCCCCCCCCGCCCCATATTTCCCTGCTGCTGATTCTTAATTATGCATTTGTGGCTCCCTCCCCATGTGTGCATTTCTACTTCGTCATCCTTATCTCCCGCACTGCGTCCAGTATATTGTCGGAAGGAAATCTTGTCTGCTATGAAAGCTTGCTTGGTCGTGATCTTGATGCAGTGACTGCAGTCACACACATTCGACCTAATCTACTCTCACGGGGTTATTGTGAGAATATAATGGAGAGGAGAGCATTGCAAGCTGCTTTGGGTACCCATTGGGGAGAGAGGAAATACAGCGCAGTGCCCGGGGGAATGGTGGGGGCATTATACATGTCAGTTTCTCCTCAAGAACCTTACTATAAAACCCGCAGCAAACAAAAGGGGGAAGAGTTCTGAATAGAAAGCAAGTTTCCGTCCCCCTACACCTGATTTTCTATCCAGCTCTAGGCTACAGCCCTCACTCAGGCTGAACCCTTAGGTTCACATCTGTGAGCATGCCCAGGCCTTAAATACCTACGAGAAAGGAGAAATAAATTCAGCCAGATTTTATTCAGCAGCTACTAACCAGGTAGGAGATTATGTCCCGCTTCCTTATTGGTGTGGTTTCTGGAGGAGGTCTCAGTGAAATTGCCATTGCATCCACACTTTTGCACAGGTGCAAGGGGAAATGGGGGAGGACAATGGGAGCAGTGACTGATACAGAGACAGGTTGCATGGATCCATTCCCACACTAACTGCTGCTGCCATGGTAAAGGTACATTTTCACACACCCTTGTGGATGTAACCTAGGAATAGTTTCCCCTATATTAAACTTCATTGGCAGGCAATACCAAAGCATCTCTGCTTTTTACTTGCTTTGAAAGCCCTTTGCTGAGATCACATAAGTCAGCTGTGACTTGACTTTACTTAATTGCTTTGAAAGCCCTTTGCTGAGATCACGTAAGTCAGCTGCGACTTTACTTAACACACACACACACACAAATTTCATTAGCACTGGCATCTGCAGCTAGGCTTGCCAATACCATGTGGGGGAATTCCTGGAGATTTGAAGGTGGGTGGTACCTCTGTGGGGCATAATGCTATAGAGTCCACTCTCCAAATCAGTTAGTTTCTCCACAGGATCTCTGTAGCTGGAGATCAGCTATGCTTCCAGGAGATCTCCAGACCCCACTGAGAAGTTGGCAACCCTGTGACTGCAAACTTACAATAGCAAGTTTTGGGGGGAAGAAATGCAAAGATCAAAGAGTGGAAAGAACATCTCAGCAAGCTGAAATGTCTTGCTGAGTATATGCTTTTCTATTTCAGTTACTATAGGCGTGACCATAGAATCTTGGCTCGTTGGCAAGGCACTTGGATGGCCCAGCTACTGAACCTGGGCCAGCCCAAGACATAGTGTTGTATTTTTCTTTTTGCTATTGTGAGCTGTTTCAGGTCCCTTGAGGGAGAAAAGCAGGTTGCAAATATTCAAATATTTGAAAATGTTATGTGCAATGGTAGCATGATCCCCGATTTTCTCAAATCCTACAGATCACCTTATACAATTGTTAACTACAAGTGTTGTATAGTCAACAGCAGGACAGAGACAAGCTCCAGTAATCCAAAGGTTCTAGGAGGTCTGCTTTAATACTGAAAGGGGGAAAGCTGAAATGTGAATGAGCCATAGTGTAGCCATGTCAATGAAGGCCAAGAAAAGAATTGAGGGGAATGTTTGACGTAGTGATGAGCCAGCACTGTTATCCATGATTTTAGTTGAAATCTCCCCTCATAGGGCAAACTAACCTTTAACACATATCCTTTTCCCTTAAACTACAGTTCATGAGTGCTTGTAGTGTACCGTAAATAAGGTAGTAGTTTTCTTAAAAGTATATTCAGAAGGAAGTATAGATTGCTTTTCTCTTGGTTTAGAGTTAGTGCAGTGTTGAGTAGGCATGCATTGATTGGCTATATATTACTGTCTCAGCCAGGAAAACCTGTTCCCTAGTTCATCTGGGATTATCCCAGACACTGTGCCAGACAGCGACTTATTTTTGTTCTCTAACTGATAACTATCAAACAAGGGCATTTATGTTAGCCAGATTTAACGTATTGCCATTGGCCATCTTCTCTGGAAGATGCCAAAAAATCCCCTATGAACTTAGGCAATGCCCCTGCAGTCAGGGTGCTATCGAATCCGTTTCCCAAGTTCTTTCAAATTGTCCATTTATACGAAGACTCAAGAAAAATTTCTGGACACCCTTCTTTTTACATGGTGTGGTCTTCCTGAGAGTGTCAAGGTCCAGTTGCTACTCTCTGGGCAAAACGCTTCTATAACTTTTAATGTTGCTTGTTTTCTTCAATCTGTAATTCGAACCAGGGAAACTATTAATTGATCAGTTCTTTTTTTGTTGGCTGTTCGACAGCCATACTTTTGATGTATTCCTAAATTTTAATGTACTCTTATCTCTTACATGCCAATAAAGGTTGTCTGTCTGTCTGTTACTGCCTCCCTGTGATGTAAAACTTGCTGTAAGTACCAAAAGTACCAAAAATGAACAATGTAACAGTGTCGGCATCTTGAACTTTCTTAGGAATACATGCTTTCCTTGTTCTTTATCAATCAATAAAGAAAAGAGTTTCTACTGTAGTTGTTAGTAGCCATTTGGACCCCTGTGTTGAACCCAGCTAAAAATTGTAATTTCCCCATCAGTATCACCAGCTAGGTAAGTATGAAGTAATGGCCATGTAACACTGCTTCTTAAAGCTTCACTTTTCCAAAATAAAATGGCACAGGTTTTGTGAGGCTAAAGTGATTAAACATTGTAATGATGAACGGGAACTACAGAATCAGTGACATGGATTCATAGAAGGGCCATTACATTTAATACCCTGTTTTGTTACTACAACATAAAATGTGTGTTGGTTAAATTATTCTATGGACACTGGATTTAATGGCTGGTAGCTATAGATTCGCCACCTTCAGATCTTCTTAGTCTTGATCCTAAATCTAAAGTAAGTTTTTTTGTTAAGGTATCCTATTAAGCATATACAATATATATATCCCATAGATATTCCATTATCACAAGCCTCTATAAAGCATTTATGTTTATGATTGGTTATAGTTAAGGTACACAAAAACATTTAATGAGAGGCAATTGTAATAAAATGTGTCACAATGGGATGGTCCTTTTTTGCATGTGAACAAAAACTCAGATTTAAGACATCTTAAGTCCCTAATTGAAGCAAGTAGTTGACTACAGTAACAATGACAGAGCAAAAATAATTGATTGAAATGCAAAGGGTTGCATGAAATTCTTCTGCTTAAATTCAAAAAATGAAATTGGAAACAAAACTTTCCCCAGCAGGCTTCACAGATCACTACTTAAGGATCTCACTAAACTCCAAGCAAATTTATTACTGCAGACTCTGGACATGATGAAATCTTATTCCTGTGGCCAGTCACTTGCATAGATTATTTTCCATCTGGTCCGGGGCTGAAAAAGGACTAGGCTAGGTTGCATAATAATGTATCTCTCCCCATAAAGGTAACCCAAAAGTCATATCCAACCAGGAAATTATTTCAGTGGGGCTTGCACAGAACATTCTGAAGATTGTGCTGTATATTCATTAGTTGAGGGTTTAATTTTTGCACATCAGTCACAAAAATGTCTTGGTGCCTCAATATTTTTTTAAGTTCTGTTCTCCCTAAAAATCCTAGCTGTGGGGTCTTGTGAGCAAAAATTGTACTTTGTGAGTTACTGGCATTAAAGTTGTGAGCGAACGATTTGGCTACTGCATAAATTAGTTTGCTCTGGAGCCATTCTTCCTGAGCTAAGACGAAAATGTGTGAGCTGGAAGCTAAAAACCTGTGATCTAGCTCACACTAACTCAGCTTAGAGGGAACACTGCTCCTAACCACTACACCAAACTGGCTCTCAAGTGGTTGCTAATGGGGGAACATTGGATTGGATATTTAAAATCCTCAAGAACTGTCATCCTTAAAGGCCTCAAACCTCAGTCTCAGGTCACTTCCCCAGCTCTCCAAGGCTGTGGGGTTGGTGGTACATGAACACATTCACCAATTTATTCCTGTTCCCAGTACAAGTTGAAATACCAGATACTTAGTGTACAGGATACACGAACATAAGCGCCCTGCTGAATCAGACCAAGGGTTCATATAGGATACCATCTTATCTCATATAGTGCCCGGCCAGATGCATCTAGGAAGCTAACAAATAGGGCATGAAAGCAACAGCCTTCCCTTGCTGCTCTCCCTCAGTAACCAGCACTCAGAGGTACACTCTCTGGAACACAGAAGTTTAATTTAGCAGCTGTTGATACTTTTCCCATGAATTTATCTAATCATTTTTAAGCCATTAATGTGTATGACTATCCCTACATCTTGTGGAGGCGAATTTAAGTTAATTAGGTGGTGTACAAAGTACTTTCGTTGCATGAACCCAAGATATTACAGGGAAGATTTTTGCACCATGCGTAATTTTAATAACTGTGTCAGGTCCACCTCAGTCACCTTGCTCTTTTCTAAACCAAAATATCTCTGACCTCTTTAGTTTTTCACATAGGCAATATGTTAAAA